TTTTATTGCTTCCAATTGGACTTTCACGCTTTGGCTTCTAATCGGATTTTCACGTGTCCGTTTCGAATCTGAATGTCACGTGTTGGCGTCTGATTGGATTTTCATGCGTTCTTTTCGAATCGTATTTTCACGTGTTCGTTTCAAATCGGATTTTCACGTGTTCGTTTCGAATTCGAACTTCTTTCATTCAAACATTGAATCACACGAAAGAAAAAAATATTTTCGAAACGAATACTTCTATATGATCACTGGTATGTTGAAAGAGGTAAATTTCACTTACATGGAACGATGTCACCCTCACTGGTAGGCATCTGATGTTTCACCGTGAGACACTTGCCTTATCGGCTCTTCAGCACCAAATCTAGATCAAGGAATCTTGTTCAAATTGAGAGGGGTATATTATAGGTACATAAGTATATTAATCGATAGAGAAAAGATGTGAACATAATAGATTCTTTCTGAAGAATATAAACAATTCAGTCGCCGATTCAGAAGGTGGGTAATTTCAAACAAAATGAAAAAGAAATTTCACAAAAAACCTCATCAATTTCAAAGCTGTTTCGGAGGACTTCGGAGTAAAAGTCTTCGTTGAATTCGACTAGCTTCTATCATTTCGTATCTGAAAGAAAAACTTTTTTATTGAAAAATTACTTTGCCTTTCGACGAACAACAACTTTATGTAGCAGTGTATCTCGAACGTATGCATATCCCCAACTAGTGAAGGTCAAAAAATGAGCGACGTGAGATTGACCCAATTTCTTCGACTGGATTCATCTTCGCACATAGGTAACCTTAGAAATGGAACGGAAACGTCAAAGTTAATTCGCAAAAATTTATGGCAATCAGATTGCCAGTTAGCATTGATCATGAATGTGAACACTTAAGAACATGTTGGGGTTGGAGGTCGAACAGTGCGACTCGATTATGTTCCTAAAAATGTGTAAACAAGAAATGAGTCATTCGAAGATTTTTGCCTGACTGGATATTGTCCGCAACTTCGTTTTCTTACAATTCAGTTTTTGGGTTCTTCCAAATTTTCAGCAAGAATTTAGCTGACTATTGATAGGTACACGTAACAAGTAGTACTGAAAAAACTTTTTTTGAAGTTTAATGAAATTATTGAAAACACTTTTGTATTTCAGGTTTCACCCCATCATCAAGTATAAAACCAATGTGAAATCTGAAAATTCGGTTATATAATAATAATAATATCTTGATGAATGTAGCCGTTACTATGTGGTAGGAGATCATGATGATGAATTTACTCTCCGGTTTTTAAATTGGCACATGCACATTGTGAACTGTAAATTCAGGTACTCAATCAAGTACCTGAATGGTATATATTAGCGAATGTAATGAATCATTCGTAGTTTATTATTTAAGTTTGAAAATGTCCATATAAGATGAAACTGCAGTAACGTTAGTTACAAATAAAAGTGGTAAAAAACATAGAAATTTTCATTTCTCTTTTCATAATAATAATATCGTTTATCATTCATAAAAAAATACATTTATACATAAAAGAAAAAGGGTTAGCCAAAGGCTATCTTCCACCCCTCCCAAAAATCATACACTGAGTGTAAGAAAATAATTATAAAAATACTTATTTACTATCATAACAATGATAGAAAAGAAAAAAAATAATAGATCATATAGTTGCTAATAACTCTTAATATTCTTAACATTATTTTGGTCAATTTAACAATTTCATTACACTACTATACATTGAATTTTAGTTTTTTTAAATTAGCACTGAGCATAAGCATCTGTGATTTTATTTCTTTCTTAAATTGATGAATATCATGATTTGAAAGGGGTAAAATTTCATTCTGATGAGAAGAGGCTATATAAAAAAAACATCCTTGAAATTTGGAAGTACGGTGCCTAGATATGTTGAATTAGTTAATTCTCAAATTGTCAGAATGCCTGCTTAATGAACTATTAGTCTGATCAACAAGTTCAAAAACATGAAAAATAGAGATAAAGGTCCTAAAAATATGAGCGATAGCTCATTCGATATCATATCATATCAATCACCTCTAGAAAAATGTTTTTGAAGGATTTTGGTGCAGGTAAAAAAATTGCAATTGTTATTAACAAAATAAGATTAAAAAAAATGGTATTTAGTTTTTCGTCAATAACTCAAAAAATAATAGTATTTAAACAATTTTGAACGAAGCTCTTTAAAGAGGAGGAAATTTCCGATAAAAAAGTCCCAACTCCCGAAACTCTTATCTCTATTATTTATAATTTTAATTTGACGTTGAAAATAGGGTACCGCGCGGCTGTTACGGCATGCGCGCGCTTATTTTGTTAATAACAATGGCAATTTTTTACCTGCACCAAAATCCTTCAAAAACATTTTTCTAGACGTGATTCCGAATCAAATGAGCTATCGCTCATATTTTTAGGACTTTTATCTCTATCTCTTTTTTTGAACTTGTTTATTAGACTATACATAAATAAATATGTTTTTTAGTCTGAAGCAACTTGAATAAAATAATTTTTATCAAATATTGGACTCTGTACCTCACATTCAGCTCGTTCATTTTTAACAAAAATGGTGTGACATGTTCACCATATGGTATACAGCATACGAATCGCATGCAAGCATTTTGTATACGATGTAACTTCTTGTTATATTTCGGCAAAAAATTGTATTACACCGAACAACAATACTCGATATGGGGGTAAATAAGAGTTATAACTAACCTTTTCTTCTCATAACTGAAATTATATAGCGATTTGGGTTTGAAGAATGATACTTTGAAAATGTTTGTCACATGTTCATGGAAAGACAAAGAGCTATTTACGGTTACGCCAAGATTTTTAGCACTGTCTATCCAGTCAATGTCTGCGTAATTGAGAGTGAGCCTAAAGTTGCACTGAGTTTCTACTATTTGTCTTTGAGACAAATTGGATTGATTTTGAGTCCATGATTCTCCGAGTATAGGAATGTTTTGTGCAAATCTGTGTTTATATTGGCCACGCAACTTTCTGTATTGGTGTTATGAGAGGGCAAGTATAACTGTAAATCACATGCGTATAGATGTACTTGACAATGTGATAAGAAACTGGGGTAATCAAAAATAAACACTGAAAACATCAAGGGTCCTAGAATACTACCCTGCAGTACACCTGAGATTGTTTCTTTTAGGGATGACCTGTGATATAGCTGGTCATCCATTCAAGAGAAATGTCATCGAATCCTATGAACTTGAGCTTGCGATAGTTTTTATCTAAGGACATAACACAAACACTACAGGAAAATCCTTCAAGCGCTCTGAGAGCGGTGCCTGTGGGAAAACACCGATTCACATTGGATTTGAATCGCTGGAGAATAAATTCATTCGGAAAAACGTTTTAAGAAAGTTTATTCCTCAGACACGCAGTTGTCCAAATGAAAGAGTCCTTGATCAATGAAGTTCGAGGTGTATTGAGGTGAAACTCAAAATGAGGTGGAAAGTCGCTCTATCGAAAAGAGACAAATCTCCAAACGACCTTCGATGTTTCAAACTATCAAGGTTGCAAGTGATGTTCGAGTCTTTAATCAGGCGAATTACTCTTTTTTGGATGGTATCCAGCAGCTTCAGGGTATGCTAAGGGGAGGAGCTCCATACATGAGAAAAATACTCTGAACTTTATAAACCATCAAAAGTTGCTGAGGTATGTATAGTTTTCTGGTTCGGGACAGTATTCCAAGCTTTTGAGAAGCAGCTTTTGCAATTCCAACGGCATGATTGTGCCAAGACATATTGGTGACTATTTTAACCCCCAACAAACTCATTGAAGCAGAAAGAGGAATTGTCTGTCCTGACATTGTTATATCAGGTTCGAATATATACCTTTTCGAAGAAAACCAATACCTGGGTTTTCGAGGTATTGAATTGAACCTGGGTACTTCCACCCAAATTCGAAATCACCTCTTGATCCTCATCAAGATTAGCAACCTCCTGCTGCCGATGAAGATATGCTTCCGTAGCCGATGTCCTGGAATCCAAATGGAATGACGAGACAAGTGTGCTGTCGTCAGCAAAGCAAAATATTGGATTCTTGGTTTTTTCTAATAAGTCGTTGATATACAATAAACAGAGGGTTGAAGACAATATGGATCACTGGGAACACCAGCTTCAGTAGTGAAAGTATTCGAGAGATATCCATCGACAGCAACTTGCAGGAAACGTTCTTTCAGAAAGCTAGAGAGCCATACTCAAAAATGATCCGATAAGTCATGTCATCGAAGTTTGGCCAGCAAACCCTCATGCCGCACACGGTCCAAGCGCAACAGCTCTTGACTCATGTTTCTTGATTGCATTATTTCAAATATGGGTGGCTTACGATAGAAGGTCGCATGTCGATCTTTGTTTCCTGAAGCCACATTGATGATCGCCCAAGATGTTGAAGCCTAGCAAGTATTCAAGGATTTGGTGGCAAACAATTGATAATCACATAATCCAACCTCACAAATCATTGAAAACGCATGAAGTCAGTTAATTAACGCTAATATCACAAAATAAAAGTTGAAAAATCTGAACGAAAACAATAGTAAACAAACGTTTCTCAACACAGTCAAGAACAACATCCAATCGAATGTGGAAAACAATCGATTCTTTATGTTCCATAATTCGATCGTCAATTTTTTTACAGTTATTAACGTTTCCGTACAAATAAACTCTCTGATGTCCCTAATACTTTTTCTATATGAAAAAGGATACCAGTGAGTCCCCATATTTTCTTCTTCTGAGGAGATCACAAATACATCTAACAAGTTCATACTAATCGTAGATTACTTGAAGATTTGTTTTCTCGGCGTCAGCCTTCAACAAACACATTTATAGAAATACTGACATCAAACATAAATCATGCATGGATACCGCTCCCCACGTCCCACTACGGTCCTGCTCGAATCTAAGACAGTTGAAAAGCGTGGGGAGAGATTTCAAAGTAACCCGCTGTAAATAAAACAAAACATTATAAAAGTTTCAGACAATGTCACTTAATGTGGTTCGAATCTCGGGAGGTGATATCAGTGAAATCAATTGATGAAAGTTCTTAATATGTGTACTGACAAGAATGAACGCGGGTGAGTCGATGGTTGAAGATTTTTTGGCATGATGATGTGAAATTGGCTCTAATGATTATATCGGATCAGTTGTGAGGATAGTCTTAGTATAAATCCAAAACCTGTGAGAAAAGTGGTTTCACTCTCAAAGCGCTAATTTCTGTTCCTTTCGATTTATCTGAAATAGTTTCAACTAAATTGAAATCCAGTGAAATAAATGAATTTCTCATAAACAATCACAAATATAAGGAGGAGGTAATGTTTTTAACAAAATAGAAATATATATGTTGATACCCCTGATTAAATATTAGGTTTTACTCTCAGATCTGCAGAGGAATTATCTCTCTCTGCCTTAAAAATTATATATTGTTCAAATGTTGAATTCATAATCGAATATATAATATATAACAATTTGGTCCATTCATATAATGTCGATATTGATATGCTTGAAAGTGTTCAAAACAAGTTTTTACGGTACTCTGCTCACACACTGGCATATCATATTGGTGAATATAACTATAAAACTATATTGGACATTCTAAATTTGAATACTCTGGCTCATAAAAGTTCAGAATCAACTTTTAGGCTAATTCGCATAATATTCAATATTAGAATCAATTCCCTGGGGCTTGTTGAACTTATAACTTCAAATTTAAATCCAAAGAGAACAAGAAATTCAAAAATCTTCAAAAGTACCCTTTCATCATACTAACTATGGCCAGAACGAGTCTATAGATAGAATTTTGAGACTTGCTAATACTTGTGCTAATACAATGTGGATTTAGAACTTTTCAATTCTTCTTTGGAATTATTTGAAAAGACTGAAAAGATTGTAGTTATTTGGCTTTTGTCTTTCTTTTTTTATATTCTTTCCTTTAATCTAGCTGATAGTACATATATGTGAATTTGATAATGCCGTAAAAAATTTGCAATGCAATGTGAATTTGCAATGCCGTAAAAAATAAATGAATTAATAGTGTATTACCAAACTCAGATTGTTAGCAAGATGCATAGGACCTGGTGTTATCTCTTGTACCCCTTCCCTATGTAAAATATTATGTTGAATGCTCTCGACCTACGGCACTTTTCATAAAGAAATAAAAAGCGATACAATTTTCAGCATTCCATTTCCAGAGGTGCTGAGTACAACTCAAGTGACGAAACTTGACAATGTCCAGTTGACACTTGAATTCTCAATGTTGTTCCCATTAAATTGATATCAGAGTAACTAATTTTCAACATTATGGTTGATAAATTGAAGATCTCAACAAAATACGAGTGACAGATTTCGAATCCTGCACCATCTGCCTTCGCCAAATTTAGACAAAACAAAATCGAATCGGTCGAAAAACCAGGGTTTCAATGTATCTTTGTTGTTAGCAAAGTTACACAAAATGTCAATTATACTGGGCTGCAAAAAATGTTCCTCCCCATTATTTTCATTCGTGATGACATGATTTTAAAATGCAAATGAATACAACACAGATTTTAAATATTATGTTTATTTAATTATAAAAAACGATATCTGTTATTGAAGTTTCTAACAACAATGAAAAAATACTACGGCTTGAGTTTTATAGTGGAAAATGCTATTATTACAGTCACAAGTTGGAAAATATCAGTTTGAAATTCCATTATGATGATGTAATTCAAGTTATTCTGTAGATTATTTCCTTTTCATCGTTCCTATCGGAGTTTCTCGATGAATCGACTAAGAGATTCCTATACTAATTTCAGCTACTGAGATTGTATTTGAATCATCGTAGTCTATATGTCGAGTGTGACGGTAATAAATTGGGTGTATTTTTTGCACAGTCGGGGGTTCCCCGAAAATCTAATTTGGGGACGCTGTTATTTTTACTTTTTATAGATGATAAATGCACTTTGATACAATCAACAAAACTGATTTTTGTAAATGATTTGTAGCTTTCCAGGGAAACACGTGTTTCACTTGATTGTATGTTGCTCTAGAAGGATTTGAACCCACTTCAAAAGTGGTTATGAGAACAAAATCTTTCGCAATGTTGGAAAATGTGAAAGTATGACTTATACTTGTACCAGTTCAATTATACTATTGATAATATCGACTTAGGAATCTTATTCGAATATGAACTCACATTTAATACACACATTGAAAATACTGTTCAGAGAGCCTTCTAAGTCGCTGAAATTAAGAAACTGTAGGGAGTTTAGATGATTTTAATGTATTCGGTTGGTTCACTATAGTTTGGTACGTAGTGAACTAGAATATTGTGATTCTATGTGGAATCCTTATCGAAAATAAATTGTAGCTTCGGAAGGTGTTCAGAAGAAATTCCAATCGTCTAAAAGAAAAATTCGTTCAGGCCAGTCTCAAATTACTCACACTGTAGGCTAATGGACTGAAACGTATCAGAAAACAACTAATCTCCTGGCTAATACCACGAAGGGCGTTGGATTATATCTAACAGGAGTCAGTGCAGGATTCTCCACTAAAGTTATTCCTGCATCTGCTTTCAGCGATACAACTGCCGAAAGCGATTTTCAATTATTGGTACACACTTGCAGACCGGTTTCGGACTCTTTGGCCACTCGTCAGTGCAAGGTAGTATCATCAACATGAAGTCGATGATTTCCGATAATTGAAAATCGAATTCCTTCGGAGTATCATTTCTCGAACTAAGCTGAAATGGACAACAAACAACATGTTTGTCAACGCATCATCTGCCCGTGAACGAGGTTACCAACCACATACCCAAAATTTGTATAATTTCTCGTATAAGGAAGGAAACTGGCTATGAATCAAATTTTCTTAAGAAAGGAATTCTTCGAGTTTCCGTATTATAAGAAAAATGGAAACAATCTCGTTAGATACATAAGTCTTCTGAATGAATTAATTTTTGTGAGAAAAAGACGTGAAATTGCAGATCTCATTTTCATCTACAAACTGATGTATAGTGCCATGGACTCACCAACTATATTGCCCCAAATTAATTTCAATGTCCCTCGATATACGTTCAGATCGAATGTCATCATTTCTGCACCATTTCTACAATTTGGTAACCTTTGTATGCCGAAGTGTCAATAAATAGTCTATAGTTTATTTTTCCCCACCCTGAATCAATTAAGAAATAGTTCGTATAGATTAGTTTTTTACTGAATGTCAAAATATTCACTCAAACTTTCATTTACCTAGAAGTAGTTACCTGTTTCATCAATGTATACTTATTTTAATGGGCGCTAGCCTATTGGATATATTATAATAATGACTAAATAAACAGAAATCGACTAGCATTTCGGCTGGTCATTATCCATTGTAGCGTCTTTCAATGTGCATAATATATTGACGAAAACTTTCACCCTGCTCATCTGATACGGTACTGAGATTTTCAAGAAATAAATCTGCGTGTGAGTCTCAGAAATAAATTTTGGCTGATATTTGGCATTCTGAAGCTTCATAAGCAGAAAGAAGTTTTCGAATGATTCAATAAGATTATGACAGACTTCCACAAAATTTCAGTTTCGCAGTTTCTAGGAAATTTCGTTTTGAAATGTTGAGAGCCTGAATCATCTTGTTCATACCTTTTGTCACTTGACTCTGAGATGCATTTCATAATTATTTTTATATATTTTTTATATATTTTTCATATATTATAGATGCATTTCAAAGTTCAGGTGTCAAGCTTTTTTTGTGATTGAGTTTTCATTTTGAAACAGCAAAACTGTTCCTTGCGATCCATAAGTCTAGCTACGATTGAAATCAGCACAAATATTCCATTTTCTTTTGGTAATACCATCAGTCTTTTATGCCGTAGATCGCATTGAAAATATTTTGGAACACCTACCTCAGTGTATCAGCATTTCTGTATACCAAATTTGGGATTTCACAAGGTTGCATTCTCTAACCTCTTTTATTCAACATCTACATCTCGGATTTCTATAAAAGTATAAAATTTTGCACTATTCATCACTACGCTGATGATACTCAAATTTACCTATCTTTTGGGAAAGGCAACCTTGAAGCACAAGAACTCATAAATGAAGATGTCAATTCGCTATACAACATCTCATTGGCACCTAACATGAAATTTAATACAGAAAAATCATCATGTATGTTATTTGGACCCAAATCTGATAGATAAACGAATTGCTTTTAGAAAACAACCTGATTATTTATATTACAGGCTTGTTATCTTTTCCCAGACTTAACTATTATACTCGAAATGGATTTGTCTTGGTCATTCCCAAATATAGCTCGTAATTTTCTACTCGTAGTTTTTCCTATATTTCCTCTAAACTGTATAATAAATTGCCCAGTGATTTCACACGATAATGACATTTAAAAATGCTTGAAACTTCTTCTTAAATCCTAGTAATTAGTGCTCTGTATGTCAATTTTTGCTAAGCTCTTATTATTACTCATTTCAATTGTATTATTGTGTTGGTTAATTTATCTCCCATTCTGTACTTCTTTTTAATATAATTTTTTAGTGTGTATTTTTGTACAGTTAATTTGAAAAACAGCTTATGCTGATAATCCACCTGTTAATCTTATTTACTTCTATCACTTGTGTCCACATTTCTTTTTTTTTTAGATGAATAAAGTAGATTCATTATTATTATATTTCTCAATATTTTTCTTTCGATTAACATCTTCATAGTCAGGTCATACAATTTCCCGTCATTGTATGACCTGACTTGTAATCTTTTCTCTAAAAAGAAACGACAAAAATAAATGTTATGATTTATAGCTGAATATGTAATGATAGTGAATAAAAAAACTATATAGATTTCTGTGGAATTCAATGAATGAAACGTCAAATTGAGAATACTAGATCATAACAAACAATATAAAAAGTTTCTCTGCCTCATTTTCAGATTATATTCCATTACTAAAGTGAATTTTTCCATTTTGGAGCCTTTCTCTATTAGACAAATGTAACTTTACCCTCCACAAATGAACCAAATCTCATATTCCTTGACTAGAATTAAAAGTTTGTGTTTGCCAACATTTTTCCAAGTCTTCGAACGTCTGAAAACTTCTCGAAAGATTTTAAATGAACTATATTAGAGACGAAACTTTTCTGTTGATCGAGGATTGAGAATTGTTTACCAAGTCAGACTCTTTGGAAAAAATTAATGCGATGATAATGGATTTATATTGAATAGACGTTATGGCTGTCAAAAGCTAGGTTAAGATGCTGTTCTCATTTTCAGTGTAGATTTTTCGATTTTTAAAGACTAAGAGCAATGATTGTTGAATTTTTCGAATCGTAAATATGCCATATTGCATTGAAGATATTCCAGTGAAAATCTCACAATAAATTGTTTGTTATTTGAATACTTCATAATAATAACTAATTAATTATTATTATATACGCTTATGAGCTAAAGTGCTTAGAATAGTTCAAAGTAGGTATTTAAGAGACTATCCAGTCCAATTGAATTAACAATTTCAAAGAATGTTGTTATCAAATTGTTGAAATTGAATCTTGATGAATGTCATCAATCGACATCCTCACTTCTCCATTTTTATAGAAAATATTGTGGAAAACTTCCTGAGGAAGGAAGAAAAAAATTAAGTTTGAAATAGTTTTTTTTCCAGAAACAGGCAGGGTTGTATGTAGCGGAATTCCAAAAACTTATACTTGGGTTCACCAATCATTACATTGTGGTTTATTGTATGAGAAAAATGGATCACTGAAGAAACGACAAAAGTCATGTTTTGTAAACATTTTTCTGAATACGTTTCTTCTGAAGCGATACTTCTGAATTTCCGGCGTAAAATAACCTGAATCATATTTTCATACGTGCACAATATGATGGAAATTTTGAGTATGGTGAAGAACGTTATAATAACATCATCAACATATGCATATGAAAAAAAAGATGTATTAGTGAAATAATGTCTTATGGTGGAAATAAATTAATTTTTTACTTTTTACTTTATACTTTTCTAATCCTTTTCTGCAAGTCTTTATCCAATTCTGAAGAGTTTTGTCACAGCAGCTCACGTTATGACCGGAAGTATTCAATTTCTTCTTCATGATTTCAGTTGTAGAAATCTCATTGCTTTTGTAACAGTTGTATATTGTTTTTTTCAATTATTTTATTAGATAAACATCTAAAGGTTTTGGTAATCCCGTATCACATCGCGACTTGCGTCCATAAGATTGTTTTTGATGGTTTTACATATAGTATATAGTATAGTATAGGAATTTCGATCAAATCTGGTGTTGCTTGTAATAGTTTGTTTCCCTCGAAACCAAACTTAAGATATAGATTCTTATATACATTGAAACATACTCTCTGTGTTTCAATATTCAAAACGCATCCGAATCGTATTCACCTTTGTTGCAATATTCATCATCGCTATTGAAATCACTACACCGAAAAAAAGGATGTGTTGTAATCACATTCAGTTTTACTATCAGTACTTGTCCAAGGACGCTATATTTTAAACAGATAACAAAAATTTTAAGTTATTATAACTGTACCAATATCGAATTTCAAAACTCAAATCGCGATCAGTTTCTGAACTGAACACGACGGCGATAACCATTCCGGCATTCCCCGTAACATGACTTCAAATTTAATTTAATGACTCTTCAGCCAATCATAAAACTCTATTAGTAAAAATTATCCATTACGAACAGCCAAGTCCACGTGGACTAGTTCGTTGCCGGTTCATTTCTATGTATTGGTTTTTTTTGGCTTTTGAGAGTGCCGCCAACTTTGAGAGTGCACAATATCGTTTACTTCAACTATATATTTGAGTTATACATCACATTGCTATGCTAACAATTGATGGACATTTAGAAAAATAAACTTCACTGCGCTTCAATCTATCTTTTATAAAGCAAATGCTAAATCAGCCTACATCACACATCTTTATATCACACAGATGCCAAAAAAGTTTGTTTTGTGAATAATGAGGAAAGCATGTATTTGATCAAAGCTTGGGTTTTTGAAACATGTATAAAATTATTCAAGCATAAAATATTGAAGAGATCGAATAATAAACGAAACATAGTAAAAAATATATGACTTGATGATTGGGTTATATATTTTGTATAGTCTCCAAATTTTTCTCTGAACTATCATGATGTTATTCAATATCAATGTAATAGCTTGGATCATCAAATATACTTTTAATGTCTTTCATGTCATAGGATATGATCTCATAGAAAATGTGTTTGCGATTCAAAAACATATGCTGTTCCATAAGAAATCAGAATAATTATTGCTCTTTTTGTATTTTTGAAATGATGACCTTCCATATGGCGTCAAAATGTCGTTATTTTGGATCATTACTAACTTCTACTCACAAATATTAACTCATAACATATTATGTTATGATGAGTATATCACATGATATGTGATATAGGTACTTATGATGTTCAGTATTTTATCAATTATTCCAATTCTGCAAAAAAAATTTTAATTATTGATAATTAAATGAGAAAACACGAGTAGATTGATCAATACGAGTCGAATGTGAAATTATCCATATTGATTATAGAAATATTTAGGTGATTCTGGCTATATGAGAAATCATACAATCTTGTAATTTTAATTCAATTAATTGAATATGTTTTCAATCGATTTTTGAATTTGAGAGCGGATTTAGATTCTTGCATTTCTTGAGGAATTGTATAATCTCATCATGATAAATCTATTTCTATCCCAAATTAGATTTGAAATTACTAACTGATAATTTTGTTTGTCTAGTGTTATGACTATGAATTTCATTAATTTCTATTTGGATGTAGATACTGGCTGGTATCTACATCGCCACAAAAGAAATAACCAGGAAAGGAATTTCTGGCAAAAACATAAAGTAAAGTTAATTTTATTGACTACACTGTAAATAACTTAAACGAGTAACAGGTCAATAACAGTACACATAACTATATAAAAAAAGGAAGTGAATGTATAGCAATGGACTAGTGAATTATGGAATTCATGTATTCTTCTATTGAATAAAAGCATTGTTCACTCAATGTTTTTTTAATTTTTTTCTTAAAAAGATACATGCTGAGCTTTGTTAGGCCTTCATTAAGTTTATTGTACAAATCCAAGTTGGGAGAGTTGAACCTGTTTGGCCTCACCTGACTATTATTTCGGGTGGGATAGATTTAGATTTCCCCTATTTCTGTGCAATTCAATAAGAGTTTGATATATATAGATGCAAGGAAGTGGCATTATTTGATTCTTGATGAAAAGTAGTGGCCTACAAGGTTGGTCGTAGCGCGTATCTTCAATTATTCTCAATGCCCTTTTTTGCAACTTGAATACTCTTCTTGCCTGACTAGAATTTCCCCATGAAATTGTACCATAGGTTATATGCGAGACCTAGCATGATGAGACCACGAACTGTGGTCGTAAACCACAGTTCCGCATTGAACTTATGGCGTAGTCGCCATAAGTTCAATGAGTACAAGTCGACTGTAATGCGAATTTATTAATGAAGTGTCGTCAGCAAATGCAATATACATATTCGGAAACAAGCAATGAAATATATAATTGACATGAATGGTGAACAACAATGGCCCAAGTACGGATCCCTGTGGCACGCCATGGTCAGTATGAGCCCGTAGCGAAGTAGTTCCGTTGACAGATACCACTTGTTGACGGTTGGGCTGATAGCAGACAAGCCCTATAGCCTTGAACAGACAACGTGTCACCTCAGGGCTAGTACTAGAGTGCCACCAAGATTTAGCCAAAGCCTCGGTAGATAATAACATTATCCTGAGGTGGGTTAAAAAGCACGACAGGAGTAAAGGTAATCGCATTGCCGACTCTATGGCGAAGGAAGCGGCTGGACTAAGAATTTTAGGACCCACTGGTACCTACGGCCTGATGACTTCAACAATTGCGGAACTAGCCAAACGTCACATCCATGCTCAAAGAGATGATATAAAATCAAAGGATGCAATCTTGCCAAGATCACCCTGGGCGACCCTGGGAAGCTGGCGCCGAAGAAATACTCGGCGATGACCAGGAGAAATCTACGCTTAACAGTAGGATTTCTGACTGGCCACTGTCAACTAAGGAAACACCTCCACAATACGGGGCTAGTTAACACACCTCTATGCAGGATGTGTGAACAGGAAGACGAAACTGTCAGGCATGTCCTATGCAAATGTCCGGAGGTATCGTCAATGAGAGAGTGTGTGTTCGGCGAGTCTTAGCCTACACCTGCCAATATAAAGGAGATGTCTCCCAGAGACCTGTCCACCTTCCTGGGAAGGGCAGGATGGATGATGACCTAGGAGGAACACTTCTTGGGAGAATGTATAGTGGATCACATGTGGCCTAAGTGCTATGGGCCTACACTCACCCTTCCTACTCTACAGATACAGATACAATCCCTAACGACACAACTGAAATACTCTTCTCAGGAATTTTTTTTTTTCAGTTCGGAAGTCAACGATTGTTTGAAAATTCCCAACAATAATGAGGCCCAATACAAGATTCTACAACAGTATAATAAAGATGAAAAGAAAAAGGAAAACAGAAGAAGAATTTTGGCACAAGTGAGTAGGTTTCCGTTTTTTAAGAAGTAGGTTTAGTAGTTGCAGATGACTGAGATTTTTTCCTTATAGATTCATAAATAGACCATTTGAATCTTTAAACAAACGAAACCTGATAACTTCCAGGGCATCAAAGGCCGCAAATCGTTCCAGAGGAACTTATCTTCAATATTTCGACTGATACGATAGGTTTTCATTCAAAATCGTTACAAATAAACTTGATGTTTTTGGATTTTTGCGAAAGATTATTTTCCCTAGTCCACTCTGTATGTTGTAATATATATTTCTTCAAGGCAAATTACCATCATTATCATTATATCTCTCAAATTAAAAATAAGTCAGTTTCTCTAAAGATCAAGTATTCATTATACCAGATATTGTAACTTTCACCGATTCGATAGAAATAAATCCGTCAAGCATTGGGAATGCATTGAATCTTTACATTTCCCTCCTTTCCAGAGTTTCGTGACAAGTGCAGTCATGCTCAGTTCGGCCAGCTGCGGCATGCCAGTTGGATATTCCGCCATTCTCCTGCCGCAACTGAAATTTATTAATGGTTCTATGCAAATTGATGATGAAATAGGATCCTGGATCGGTGAGTTTAGTGGATAGTGCGCTTTTAACCCTATCAATATGGGGGTGAGTTTCAGATGATTGATTGATGAGCGTGTTCTTATCGAGTTGAAACTCCTTTGAAATGTTTCAATGAAGATTAAAGCATATTAGGTACTCCTCAGATAATGACATGATCTACTGAAGTTAGTAAGAATAATTGAAAATTTCTGAAGAAAAGAGAATTGAAACTTTCTATGTTTTTTACCACTTATATTTGTAACTAACGTTACTGCAGTTCCGTCCTATTAGGACATTTTTAAACGTATACATCAAACTAAAAATTATTGATTTTATTAGCCCTTATATAACACCTCTGTAAGTAATAATAGAGGTACTTAGCTTAATTGAGTACCTGAATTTTGTTCACTTGTGTCAATGTGGATATGCTTATTTGAAAACTGGTGAGTAAACTAAATCGATTTGATCGTTTAACAGGTTGCACCCGCAATGTTTATGCTTATGAATTTTCAAGGATTCCAAATAATTGAATTCGCAACCCTTCCTTCCATACTGCAAAATTTCCGTATCGTTCAGATTGGGGAAATTGTGGTTGCATGCCAAGGAATGGTTTGTAAACGTCGAATCATTTTTACGTAGTCTGAAGGACCTTTCATGTGCAGCATACCGCTGAATACCGCAGCATACCGACCACATGGTCCCACATAAACACTATTACACTTCGGACACTTGAACTTATAAACTCCAGATTTCTCCAACTTGTCCACTTTATCTTTGGCATTGAAAACGAAATCAGATAACCTGGCATGTGGTCTGAATGCCACTTCCACATTGTTTTTCTAAAGAAAGCCGCAATTATCTCTGTTCTTTTACCAACATTGTTAAGAGTTACCCATTCCTTGATTTCTGATTGTTTGATCTGGGAATATATTAATCTGTAAGTGAATTTAAAGCTTTGTTTTATGACTAACTCCTGGATTGTATCTGCATTGAAACCATCATTATGGCCTATCAATTTCCCTAGTTAGATTGTTAGCAGACAAAGGCAGTGAGAATGCTCCATGCAACATTGAATTGCAAGCTGCTAATTTGCGACTATCTGGACGGACTCACTTGAGATGGTAATATCTGTATAGCTAGGTTTTCTGAAAACATTGAACTCAAATTAATTCTGACTGTGTGTAATGGTCAGGTCTAAGAAATTTATCTGTTTCCCTGAACTGAATGTTGCTATTGAGATTATTCATGAATATCATAAATTGGTTCAGCTGTCGTGTAGTATCTCTGAAACAGTCTACATATCTGTACCAAAAATGAATATGTTTACCTAGGTCGGAATTTATTATAGTGGTCTCCAACCTGTTCATAAATATGTCTGCTAACCTGAATCCTGTTTATAAAATTTGTAGTTGAACTGTAGGTAACTCTGATTTAGGCACACATCGAAAGCTGTTGAAATTTCAAAGGAAGTGAAATGGTCTACTTTGGCTTGATCCAATATATCTAAAATGAGGGGCTTGCATTCGTTGTACGGTATGTTGGAGAACATACTCTCCACATCGAATGAAACTAAAATTGAATTATGTGGCGTGGTTTGGTTCCTTATGTTTTCCACTAAAGTCAGTGAATTTTTAATGCTATGGGGATGGACGAAATCGGTAATATTTTTGAACAACTTATTAAGACGTATTTCTAGTTGTCTTACCGGACTATTTATATACGAAACTACCGGTCTTATGGAGTTATCCTCTTTATGTGTCTTTATCAGGCCATATAACTCAGGGCAGGAGGCGTTCATGTTGGTGATTATACGTTTCTCTGATTCCGTGAAAATGATTCTAGTATCTGAGAGGAAATTTTTCAGTTCATTTTGACTATTTTTCGTTGGGTCTTTCTTGATGACAGTAAGGTTTTCATTTTGAATGACTGATTCAATTTTCCAGATATATGTTTCTCGTTCGAGGATTCTCTATATTTATAACTGTCTGCTGTTTGTGCAAAAACGCGAACTTGAATTGGAAACTAACTCCCATTGTCATAATGACGCAACAAGGAACGGAAATTCAATCAAATTACAACAACTGCTTACAAAATCATTTGGAAAGACGCCATCTCTATCAGGCTCAAAATGTTTCTACCTTCCAACGTAAGAAGTGTAGCATCAATTTTAGTATTTGAACGGAGAATCAGGGACGATCTCGTAGATGGTTGTTTTTATAGTAATAATGAATATTTTGAATATCCACATTCGCCAGTCTATAATTAGTTGCATGTCCAGCATTATCTATTTCGACTGTTTTTTTTTCTATACGAGCACTCTCATGTGTAAAATTCATATATTTTGTAATGCTTCATTTATATACATTTCATATTTTACCATTGACGATTCCTGAATCATCGTAAAATGATCATTTGAAGGAATAAATATAATTTATTTCACTGTATTGCATTGAATTGAAGTGTATCCCCATCATATACCTACAAATCTCTTCCTGGGGTTGATTTTTCAAAATCAGACGAAAATGGTGTTACTCTTTCGTAGAAATTGATTATTTCACAGAACGAAACAGTTTCACACAACGAAACAGATTCACAGAACGAAACAGTTTCGCAGAACGAAATAGATTCACAGAAAGAAACATTTTCACAGAACGAAACAGTAAGTAAACCGGCACTCTCATCAGAGCAGTCTGACTTTCTTCTGGAATTCGACGAAAAACTTAAGTTTTTTCATCTCTTTAATTTATTGGAATTCTTTCACACTCATAGCGTGAATATTTTCCTAATTAAAAATGGGAGATATTACTACATTAAAATGATTATAGTGTCTAACTGTTACGTAGATTGATGTTTGAATTTACTGCTTGTGTATTGGTGGTTTCAAATGTTGTGTCCGTTATTATGAGTCTAATTTGAACTGTAATATGTTAGTGAATGCATGTCCATCATTTGCTCACAAAAATAAGTTCTCCTATCAAAATCGTCTTCCATGAGCTCCTGAGTAGGTATCATTTCATAGGGATACATTTTATTTATTTTTTATTTTTTTACCATTGATGTATGGCTAACATTGAATGTAGAGAATGCCTGTCTACTCGATGTATATGGATTTCTTCAAACTCAAGCATCACATCTATTTTGAGTTCATCACTCATTGCATTGGCAGCTGCTTTTTTTATCTGCCTCACATAACCAAGCTCGCGAAACTGCTTCTTTATTTTTCTTATTGTTCCTTGAGATATGGGCGGTAAATTAGAAAAATTTTCATGAAAAAGGCGAGATACTTCCTGTTGTGTTCGGGTCTCATCTCCGAAACCAATCATTCATAAAACTGTTATTTTATGCATTTCCGTTAATATAACCATTCATCAGACTTTAAGTTAACGAACTTTAAACTTAAATTAAAATACTGGCAACTAATGTTGTGACATACAAAACAAGTTGAAGTTTTGAGTGCATTTTATCGAATTGCTGTAACCACATGATTTTAATTTATTTTATCTCAATTGTTACAATAAACTTGAAAACGATACCATTTTCAAATAGACACCGAATAGAGCTTTCAAACGATATATCACAAGCCTATACTTGCCATTTGAAAAATTGGGATTGTATCTGTCATTCGACGGGGGTTGAAGGTAGGGGTAGCAATTTTCCGTTGAAGTATGTCAAATTATAATTTAAATTTGACATTTTTCGGGATTTTGTTAAAATATGTACCTCAACCAAAACAATGAATTTATTCAATTTGGCTTTTAGACACTGTATATTGTCCTGTAAATGGATTCTTCTGTTGGGCAATAAATTCTGTTCTTCTTTTTCTTCTCTTCTATGTATGAGTTGAAAACAAACTTATTACTCGTCTGGCACCCCACGCATTCATAAACACATCTCAAATTTCGAAAACATACATTATTTTCCAGTCAATCAGACCGTGAACAATACATCAAAACGCCAATTCAACCTTCCCATGTCAGTAACCGTTGAAGTATAACCAGAGTATAAATCCTCCGCACACGGCCAATGTTAAACTCGTCCAATTTGCTTCAATTTAAAGGTCGTTCACATAACAGTTTCAATATTCGGATGCGCTTGAAATAGGTCAAGATCGCGGCTGATCGCATTAGAATTCACGGCAATAAAATTCACATAAATTTCTGTCAGATTTTTCCTGTTTGGTTGCGATGGCAATTTTAGATACGTCTATCTTCTAGTTTTCAGTGACCTATAAAACGGAGTTGCAATTTGAAATATTTTTCAGGGGTTTCATAAAGGTTTGTAAAGTATTTGACGGGCGATATGGTTTATGACCCTACATTTTTCACGACTCATTTCAAAATACTTTCTTGTCTTCGTCTTCGTCTTGTCTTGTTCGTTTCAATGCAATGTGTTTTTATAGCTCCATATCTCAACGCTTTGGATTTCAACATTTGGCGTTATCTATTTCTGGACTACATAAATGATCACCACTCTAGTATCAAATTCACCATAGAGACTGAACAGGAACAACGAATAGCTTTTCTAGATGTACTCGTCGAAAGGCGTGGCACAAGACTGACACATAAAGTGTACCGAAAACCGACACACACGGACAGATATCTGCATGCACTTTGGAACCATCATCCAAGTCAAAAGCGGGGAATTATCAACACCCTGACGGAACGTGCCCGTAAAATATGTAAACCGGAACACCTACAAGAAGAATTGGAACTTCTTCAAGTGGCTTTGAAATCGAATGGATACAGTGTAACCGAGATTAACAAGGCCGTGACATTGAAGACTTCTACAAGTCAAAATAGGGAGGAAACTCAAAAGGTTGCTACCGTACATCCCTAGGGTTACAGATAGAATCGGAATAATCCTAAGGAAGCATAACATAAAAACAGTGTTCAAGCCCACCAGTGAAATACAGCAAAGCCTGATATCTGCGAAAGGCAAAAGAGATCCACTATCAACTGCGGGGGTATAACATATACCATTCACCTGCGGGAAATTTTATATTGGTACCACCAAAAGATCCAT